TTTAAATTTCTTTCTTTTTCCTGAGGAGACTGGTGAGGCTCTGCCTCCCTTGCCTCTAGTGACTGCACGTCCCTGATTTGAGGTTTGGGTGGCATGATGTTTTATGGTATGATAATTAGTTAATGTCAATTTTAAAAGTCATTTTGTTAGATGTGCCATATTAAGCGTTGCATCATCATCACTGAAAATATGGAATCGCTATAAATCCAGGTTGTCTCTGAAAATATCTCAATGGCTCTCACCATAAGAAGCATATTGTATAAGAAATGAAAATTAAATATAAATGGTTAACCTATGGTGACATATTAGAATTTTCTCAGGGAGATTTAAAAATATCAATACCAGATTTCACATCAGAAATCCACATCAGTTACTGGCTTTATTATCTACATTTATTAGAAAGATTTAGATAAAAGGATTTTTGTCTTTTGAACATTGTAAGGCTGAATTTGAAACATGATGATGTATAAATAACTAACATGTTTTTGTTAATATATATAAAATTTGTATTAAAATTTGAAACAGAAGAAGAAAGAAGGTATAATAAAATGGTGTAAAAACTTTGGCTTGAACATACAAATTGAACAATGGAAATATATGGTATGTGGGAAAGAATTGAAATTCACATACTCTAGTTATAATTTTAAAAATAACTTTTATAAAATGATATATTGTTGGCATTTGTCACTTGCAAAATTGTCTCAAATGTATAAAGAAGCTTCAAATTTATATTGGAAGTATAACCAATAAAAGCTTTTTTTATCACGCTTGGTAGACATGCAAAAAAGCTGAAAAATGGATTCAAATCCATAATTAATTGAGAAAATTGTAAAAGTTAATATAAAGATGAAGCTAAAGATGTTTCTTTTGGGGCTAATTGATTAAAAGTTAGAAAAATCCCATGGAATTTTGTTTTTATATATAGTAACAGCAGAAAGACATTTATATGTATAATGGCAGAAAGATCTTATATTACTCACAATGGAGGAGTGGATGTTAAAGATGATGGAGCTTCCTGAAATGTCAAAATTGACAGATTTAATTGGAGAAAAAATACTGATTAATTTTAATGCTGATTGGAAACCCCCCCTTGGACTTTTTGTGTGAAACAAAAAAAAAATGAAATGATAAATGGATTTGATGATTAGAAAAAATAGATGATAGAAAAATTAAATCTACATTGCAATCTTAGAATAAATGGTCAATTTAAATTTATACATATAACTATTGTAAAATAAAATCAAGTCATTTCTTCCCTCTTTGTTTTATATCTACATTTTGGGTTTTTTCCCCTCTTTCTTTACTTTTTCTGTTTTTGTCTAATTTGTTTTTGTTTAAAAAAATTATAAAATTATCATTAAAATTTTTCATTTTTGCTTCTCTCCACTAAGAAAACTGCCCATTTACTCTTATTATTCTGTTTTTCATTTGTTTTTGGCAGCAATTCATAAAAAGACAGGTTGTCTTAACTCATGGTAAGAGTCTTTGATAAGATACCCCAAGAAATGCTATTATATCCCTTTTTAATTTTTATTTATTTCCAGAGCTAAATATGCCCAGCTCATTGAATTTCGCTTCCTAGGACTTAATTTTTAGTTCCCTAGTCATTTTCATCAATCTCTTCTAAGATACCCCAAGAAATGCTATTATATCCCTTTTTAATCTTTATTTATTTCCAGAGCTAAATATGCCCAAATATGTTCTAGTTTCTTGCAGTCTTTCCAATAGAGTACTGAAAGATAGGATTTGAACAAAAATAAATTGAAGGATTATCTTTTTTGTTCAATTTTTTAAAATAAACAATAGTGGCAAACATATCCAACACACTGCTGTCCATTTAGAAAGTCCATCCTGATGGGACACGGTTTCCAGACAATAAAACTCATGAAGCAATATATGAGGACCCAGGTTGTTGGGGGTAATATGCTGACTCTGTTAACTGCTTAGAGACGGCTGTAAAAGCACTGAAGCAATATATAAGTCTAAGTGCCATTGCTATTGCTACATGGAGCTTTCAGAAACTTTCAGTTAATTAAAAGATTTCCTTAATCTATGATAATTGCTTTAATTACTCATACATATTGCTGTTCAATAGCATAAAGTCCTGGAATCAAGTGGAGCACCAAGTGGAGTAAATGTTTAACTTTAAAGTTATGTCCACATCAGAAATGCCCAAATGTATTTTTAATAGGAGAAGATGGAGTGTTAGCCAATCCTGCCCTATGATTTTTATTTTTAAATTAAAGAGCACATAGTCAGGTGGTACTTTAATGATTCACAGATTTTATTATAGCAAAGGTTCTCTTGATTCCATGATCCAGTATTCTAAGATGGAAGACACATTACCTGGATAGAAGTAAAAACTTCATAATTCAATTCCATATAGGCTTTTTGAAGAATGTGCACCAATAAGAACTTTCTAGTCTTACCTTTTGCCCTGGTATTGCTAAGTCCCAATCTTAGCTTCTAAGCCCAAACAGGTTTGACCAGATTTAACATATGCGTACTGAGACATAATGTGTAGCAAAAATTTAAAGCCAAATAGAGATTGTTTATACAATTTTGAAAAAATAAATTTCCGAAATGAATAAGAGAATCCCAGACACTATGAAGGTTTTGAGGGAAGTGATTATGTTTGTCTATTGCAAAATATAATTACCAGAGATTAACACATTTCCTATTGCATAAACTTTGGTGGTTAAAATGGGCTGTGATCCAACAAAGCGTTCCAATAATTTGATTTTAATAATAACACTGTTTTCCTGAAAATAACCCCCCCCCCCAAAAAAAATTGCAACACAGCAGCAGCCATGAGGTGGACCTCGCTCACCGCCTCTTGCACCTCAAAAATAATAAGACTTCCCTGAAAATAAGGCCAACCTCTTATTTTGGGAGTCAAAAGAAAATAAGACCCTGTCTTATTTTCGGGGAAACACAGGTAGGTGCCACAGGGCATGTATGCCCTTTCTGAAACAGATACATAAGATTTCACTGTTAAACGGACAAAATTCTCTCTTCCTATAAAGAGCTCCCATCTTTCTTAACATCAAACTTCATGGCAGCCTTAACAAAGTTTGGATTGTTCAAAGAAAGTTAACTTCCAGTTTTTCAGGTTTGCCATTTTTCCTCTGAGAGAGTCCACAATGTTCTCTTTTCATTGCGTTCGTTTCTACGATACCCAAAACAAGCCGTAACTGTGTAAGTGAAATCAATAGCGCCCTCATGTTTTCAATTTCAGCCGTAATATTTCATAAACTTCCCGCCTTCTCATGCATATTCAAAACGGGAGGGCGGTCCCAGCAGGAGAACGATGCCTCGCATCCAAATGAAAGCTGCTGATCGCTGACGCGCCATCACACCACGAGCCGCTGTGTCCGCTGATTGGACGGCGGAAACCTGGTCTCATGGACAACCAGCCGCGCGCGGCGGTGGTTCCTCGCAGGTGGATGGGTGGAGTTCACAGAAGTTAGAGCAAGATGGCGCCGGTGTGTGATCTAAGCCCGGAGAACCCGCGTTGAAGCAACAATCCCCGCCTGGGAAAGAGTTAATGCAGGGGGTGGAGTGTCGCCGCTCCCTCTAACGAGGTGACTCGCCCTCTTACGAGGTGACTCGCTGTAGCTGAGTCGGACGCGCCTCGCCGGCAATGGAAAACGAGCTGAGCAGCATGGAGACTATGGAGACCCTGACGGAGCTCGGCGACGAGCTCACACTGGGCGATATCGATGGTGAGTGCGCACATGGCGGGCGCTCGGCTGTGCCCACTATCGCCCCCCTCAGATACAGCAACCGCGGAGGAAAGGGAAGTCGCTGCTCGGTGCGGACCCGGCCCAGAGGGGCGAAGTGCCGATAAGTGTATTTGCCTGTCGGCCACCGATACACTACCATATCCCTGTTTAAATGGCTGGGGATTCCCAGAGCAATCTCACACGTGAATTGGCAGGTGTCTCCCAGTGCGTGTAGCATGCGATTTTCTGTGTACCGTTCAACTCATCCAAATTCAGATGCCTATCAATTTAGGATAGGAAATTTGAGAGTTATTCTTTACATTAAATGTAAGGTATGCTTGTGATGCTTCCTTGCTTCAGAATAAATATATTGTTTGAACACTGGTGTGTATTTGTATATATAGGGCAACACTTGTGTATCCTTATTTGGAAATAAGTTCCCTCAAATTCAGTTGCCTTTATTATTTATCATTCATACCTAGGACTCTTAGATCTATGCCAGTTCTAAACATCTCAAAATGGGCTTAGAAGACAGAAATAATATCTAGAATTGTGGGTTTTATCCGAAGCCCTTGCGCATTTCCTTGTGTATTAGTGGAGTAGTTTGTTTCAGTTGTATTTCTTGGCATGTGTTATTGACACTTATAAAATATTGAGTGCATTCATCCACAAAGAACAGGTTTATATGTGTACCTGTATGATTTGTGTGGACTGGAGGGCTTTATGCAAATTTATTTTATTTAAAAACATCTATATGGCTGCTCAACACAGACACACTCATTGACTCCTGGCAGCTTACAAAGATTTTAAAGCCCAATATAAAAACAATAAAAAGTAATAACCTCCCACCCTGGTAGTGACAACCATCAATCAATCAAGTAAGCCACTTGGTCCATCTGCATTAAAATGGTACAGAGATAATTGGGGGGGAGGAGGGATTCATCATTTTGGCCGTCAAAATTAAGAAGTGTACAATATTTTTTTAACATGACTGAATAGAATTCATATTTTAATCTGTCAAATACATAATAGCTTTTTGTTTCCTATTTTAACATTGCTTCTATTTTTGTACTTATTGTTATATTTGGGGTTCTTTGGCCATGACATGAACAATTATTTTAATCTGATATTTAATTTAAATGTAATATAATAAATGTAGTTAATGTATGTTCAGTGAAACTAGTTTAACGGACCTGAACCACATGCAATGAGTCAATCTGCCGATTTGCATTATGATATCATATAAATGATGTATGGAGTCCTTAGTGTTCTCTGAGCTTGGTTGTTTCATTACCTAACTAGGTAATATTTTCAATGCTAGAAGGGAATTGGGTTTGCTCTCTGTTTATATTGTGGGAGTGAGTAATAAAATGTCTGCAAGAAAACAACCAAGCTCAAGAGCACCAAGGACTCCACAGTTCAACACTGAGTATCAAATAATTCTTTTCTGTTGGTAACAAATGACATACTTTGTGTCATTTGAATGATGATATCATACATAAATGATGCATTATGCAAATTACGGTGGTCTATTTATGGTCTATTTTCTGTTTAATAGCTATTGGTGAACAGTGACATCCTCTCCTAATTAATCTGTTAAAAATAGTTATCTGTTATATTAAATATAATAATTCGATGGCAACCTTTAGACGCAGAAAGATAGACCAAAGCTTTTAGAGGCTGCAAATAGTCATGAGGTCTCAGGTTTAATCAGGAAAAAATGCAGTATGTACTAAAATTGCCTGGATATAATAAGCATATAAAAACTAATACTTCAGGCAGGCAAAGAAACCCCTGGTTAAGATTACTAATATGAACATTAATATACCATATTTTTCAGAGTATAAGACACACCAAGGTTTTGAAGAGGCAAATTAAAAAAAAACTTTTTGCACTCTAAACCTCCCCAAAATGGCCCGTTTTCATGAAAATGGGCCTATTTTTCCCCCCAAAAAAGGGCATGAATAGCCCTTAGGAGGCTTGTAGAGTGTTCCTGCATGGGGGGGGGATGAGCAAAAAACTGCCCCTTTTTCACAAAAACGGACCCTATTTTTGTCAAAAAAAGGGGCATTAAGGAGCTTATAGAGTGCTCCTGGGG